TGTCTTTCTTCAGCTCAGAGCACTCATCCTCCAGCTTCCTCTTCTTAACAGTTAGTTCAGCATTCATCTCCTCCTCATCCTCCAGTCTCTCAGACAGCTCTTTGGATTTAGCCTCCAGCTGAATCTTGCTCTTGATCAGCCCCTCGCATCTTTCCTCAGCATCTGCAAGATTATCTTGCTCCTAAATTGAAATGGTCATTACTTTGTTATCATATGGTAAGTTGCAAGATACATGATTAATTAAGAAGAAAAAAAAAAAATATATATATACATTATATTATATATTCATATGGTATATACCAATCATTCTCAAAGACTGGTTCGGAACCCACAGGTGGATCGCTAATCAAATTTGCAGAATTTCTTTTAATTAACATTTACATCGGTAGTACACCAGAGCCACAGAAGTCTACAGCAGTTAGAAAAGGCTTGCGTACATTTTCTTTGTTTTACTGATGAGTACTCTGTTTTAATAAAAAAGAGTTGTGATTTATCATTTCCAAATGTTTTTTTTGGCTGGTTTACCTATTGAAGATAATATAAGGTGATGTGGAAATGGCAGTAAAGATGGTTAGGTACGTTTATTTATGCACAAATTTGGTTCGATGGTTGGTACAAATGAAAGTAAAAGTCGACGTTTAACAAGAAGTAACATAACGTACTTAACTTATGTCACCTACGTAACATTAACATGTTGAAGTCAATGGGACAACCCATTTAAGAATTAAGAAGGGATACCAATGGGTCCTGACAAAGCATCCATCTTTGACAAGTTGGGACTGAGATTGTGCTTTATATACTGTATGGTTATATTACCACTTTGATATTAAGAATAATGTCATTAGACTCACAGACTGGACATGGAGCTGCAGGTCGTTCTTCTCTTGAAGAAGAGAGATCATTTTCTCCTCTAGTTCCTTTCTACGAGCTTCAGATTTTGCATAAGCCTCTTTCAGCTTCAGGAATTCTTCCTTCATGTTGGCCATCTCCTTTTCTGCCTCTGCAGATCTCAACAGAGGTTTGATCTTGAAGAAGAGCTTCATCCAGGGCCAATTCTTGACCCCCATGAAGGCACGGATGTTCCACTGGATCACCAATAGTGCATCTCTGTCGGAAGATCAACCAGAGTTAAATCTCGATGAATGATCGTTATAATTTTCTTGGTTTTAGTTAATTTTTAAAATTCCTGATTTCTCTGACCTCCTCTCAAAAATCTTGTTGAATTCCAGTCTTGCCAGTAGGCCTCTTGTTCTTGCCTGGATTCCAGTGATGATGAGTGACAAACGGTCATCCCTCATCTCCTCCAGTGTCCCAAGAAGACCAGCCTTGAAGAACACCTTTAGGTACATGAAAACATATGTTCCTCTTAGAAATTCAAAGTTCAACTTAAATGGTCCCTTGCTCAATCCAATACACTTGTGGATTTTGCTGCTACAGTCCTATTTGGTCTGGTGTAACCAGTAGCTTATGGTGGCAAATTGTATTTAATATAAGAATACTCTATAACTGGCATTATTGAGTTGGTGTCATAGCAATAGAATAGGAGTAGAATGGACATTCCCATTCAAATCAATGTGGCCGTTGTAGTGGCCAAACTTCCATATAAATTAAACCCACTTACGACTAGTTGCGGACTCACTGAGGTGAGGTTTTGCAGTAACGTCTAAAAAGTGGAGTAGTAACGTTATGAAGCGTAGAGAGTCAGAGTAAATGAGTAAATTTAAACAACTCAACGCTTCGGCCACACGCTCGTGTCACACCATAGGAAAACTCATTGCTATCGGCAGATGCGATACAACTTTGTTTGGCTCATTTTCTTTTACCAGTGTGGAATTTGCAAGCTAGCTAACTAACTAGCTGACAGTTGACTAATTAGCTAGCTTGCTAATTCCACCATGCTTTAATACTACACTTGTTACAGTAAATGAGCTGAACAGTGGGCTGGTAGCCAGTGGTAGCGCTGGGTCTAATGGTCCCTCTGCCTCAACCAATGTTGCCCTGGAGAAGGACAAGCTAACTATTTAACTAGCCAGCCATCCATCTCAGGAGCAGCATCCATTCTCTTCCCTGCGAGCTGCGACAACACTTTACGACCCCACACAGTCTTGTCACCATAACAACTAACAACTATCAGCATTTTCTTTTATATCAGTCAAATGACCAGTGAAAACAGTTCAAATCTACTTCTTCATCTGTTTCTCTGACTGGTTTACTGACTTGATGAGACTTCTTGATTATTTTCTTCTTCTACTTTTCTGCCACATTTTGCATTTACCATCATTCTGTAGTTTGTTATTGCTTAAACATTTGTAACAGATGTGCTTTGGACTTGTCTTGTTTATTAATTACCTTTGTATGTCCAAACTTGTACTGATTGTGATCAATATCCAGAGACCCAAGAAGTTTCTCAGCTCCCTTCCTGCTGTCAATAAACTGGCCATCAGGAATGGCAGCAGGATTCAGGATGCGATATCTGGAAAATGGAACGGTGAAAATACATTTTTACATAACACCTTATTTTAGAATTATAAACTATGTGACTAAGCATTTCATAATAATAATCAGGTTTATTGAGAAGGTGGTTTTCACATACAAGGAATTTGCTTTGGTATTTGGGGCATACAATAGACATAGACAAAAAAAAAAATCAGGAAAGTACTACAAAAAGTTGAGAAACATAAATATGAAATGGAAACATCTCAATAAAACAAACATATTTGACATACAAAATAATACCTCTGTTTGAAATCTCCATAGAGGATCCTGTTGGGGAA